AATTAGAATTGTGTTTTTAACTGTATATGAAGAGGTAGTTTAAATTGATATGAAACAACTAGAACAACAGCAATGGGCAGCATTACATTATATTTTGTGTGTGGGGTGTGAGACAGAAAGTCAGACAAGCTTGTCCACATTCCAGAGTCCCATGTTTTGACTGAATGGAATGTATCCTAATCACATCACCTGCTGCTGTTCTCAGGTGTAAAATGTAGACTGCTTCATCTTCCTGTAAAACTTGGTTTTCAGATGTGCAACCACGATGAAAGCTATGTGTGTGTGTTTTGTGCAGGTCCTTGTCTTTGTCTTCACTTTTCTTTATCTTTATCTGTACGAGCTGAAACTGGTTGATTTGGTGGTTAAATGTATTTAAAGCTCAGAGGTTGGTTTGCAATTCTAACATTTGAAACATTGGAGTTAAATGGTCACATCTATGCAAAAAAGGAGTGCTCAATCAAAGAATAGCAGAACATAAAAGTACTATTCGATGTATATAGCGAGAACGAGCGAGAAACACGAACGGCTTTACGGCAATTCCACATAAACGCACACGCCGCCCTCAATAACGGTTAGTGTATAATGTATTACCCACACCTCGTAGACTATGTCCCACACGAAAAAAGGCACATCAGCAGCGGTAGAAAGGGAGAGGGGCCGCAAGTGAGCTAGAGTTGCCAAGTTCTCCTTTAATTGTGCTAGGAATTTCAGATGCCTCATATGCATCAACAAGAGCACTGTAGCAACTTCTCTCTTACACTCTTATTACAGCAAAAAATAGAATCCAGACATTCTGGAAGAAGGAGGACGTTTCCACTTTTAAGCTGTGGCTCAATGAAATTACTAATACCCTTCACCTTTAAAAAATAAAGTTATCTCAGATATAGTATAGACAGTTACAATTTGATAAGATCTGGCTGCCCTTTGTCTGCTACCTGAGAAACAACCAATAGTGTGCTAATACAATTTTCATCACTTGTTGTATCTTTTCACTGCAACCTTTATTGTTGTATACTACTTACTAAGCAGAAGGGAGGGAGGAAGGGTGTGTTAAGGGTATATTTTGTTCAGTTAAGTTATGTTGATACTATCTGTTGCATTAGCTTAGCTTTTCTTCAGTGAGAATGTACACTGCATTCTCATGTCCTACATTTTGTAATCCTTCCTAAATAAAACATACTTCAAAAGATCAGTAAAATATTTACTTTGATAAATTGTTTAAGTAATTTTTTGTGTTTTGGCATTACATTTTTTTTATATTTCTACACATAAAAAGGTCAAAAGTTGTAAATTAAGTAAACAAAAGGCAAACATGAATAATCTAGAATGATTCTGAGGTAATTTAAAGTGGGTGCAAAACCCAAGTTGAATGAATGTAAAATCAATGAGGAGTATCTAAACTAGCTAAATGATTTTTCCCAGATCTAATTGTAGTTCGTCCTAAGTAGACTACTTTAGCAAGTTTTGTCCTTAAGCTTTTTTGTTTATCTGCTGGAGGTTTTCCAGCTTTTGTACACAGATATGGTAATATTAATGGTCAAAAACTATTTAAAATGGCACATTTTGTTTGTTTAAGTTTTTGAGGGGATGACCCCCAAAACCGCCACCAGATATATGTACCTTAGTCTTACACAAACTCGTACCATGGCTAAAAAATTTCTAGGGAAAAACGATGACTCAATACGATCATATTCTATTACAGAGACTTGAGCATCTAATTAGCATTAAAGGAACCCTCATGTTTCCTTTAGGCAACATTATTAGGAATCACTCCATTAACTTTCACTGTTATACAGATGATACCCAGTTATATCTAATGGATCAAGCCTGATCTTAGAAAGTAGACAATTAGCTAAAATACAAGCATGCCTTAAGGACATAAAAACCTGGATGGAATTTTCTGATGTTAAACTCAGAAACTACAAGATACAAATTACAACGAATTTAATTGATCGCTTTTTGTAGATGTTTTCTTAAAGAATAAAGTTTTATTTTAAAGGTTAATTCAATGAAGAAATAAAAGTTAGTGTTTCTATGGCAAATACTTTGACAGGGTTTCTGCAGGTTTCAGAATTTAAGACCACCATGAATGCAATTAAAGAAAATTTCACATCCATACTGGCAAAAAAAGTACTGAATGACGTTGTAGTTATTACTGCATGATCGAAAGAATTTATTTACCAAAAACACATTTACGAGAGACTGAAAAGTATATCAACATTCATTAATTAATGTTTAAGACCTGTCAAAATAAATATTCCGATTTTTTAAGGCCTGAAATTCAGATTATAGGATTTTAGACTTCTTAAGACATTGAGGACACCCTGGTTGAGCCATTCAAATAGCAAATAGAGGCCTTTCTCTGTTGCTTCTATGATTCCTGGTTTAGACTCAAGAGATGATCTAGAAAGCATGCATAGTGCAGCTTATAATAGTAGAAAACTGGAAGAAACATACCTGAGGATCGGCTTGAATTAAAGAAAACAAATCCAGACCTATAGGTAAAAGAAAAAACAGATTATTAACAGTACCACACAGTGGCAGTGATAGTGCTCACGCTCATTCTATCTAGCTGACTCACTCTGCATGTCTGTAGGGATGGTGGCCAGGGTTGATGGGTGGAAGGGGACTGCATAGTCAGCTAGCGTAGAGGTCAAATACGATGGGTCCAGAGCCTGGATGTTTGACACGCGCACAGTGGGCTGGTAGGTCAACACTCTGAGAAAAACAAACATACATTGAATACAAATCTAGTGTTGAGTGTCAAAACAGTGGATGAATTACTGAGATAAATAAATTACAGACATAATAATTTATACTGAATTCTTTCGCAAAAAAAAATGTATGAAAATAACGGTTATCGGTTGTTTTTTTTGCCAAGAATGAGAGCTGTTCAGTAATAGACATTCAGCAGTGCAGTATACACACACTGAGCCAAACAATGAGTGAGAAGAAAAAAAAGCTGTAGAGCCAATGTATTTTCACATCT